TGTAGGGAAGAAGAAGCTAGCGCTCTCGAAGTCATTGAGTTAACTACATTGTATATTTTTGTGAAAAAGTTGAAGTTATAGACTTGTTATAGCAGTGTTATAGTCATGTTATAGTCATGTTATTGTGTGTTTTTTGTATTATTGTGTGTTATAGACATGTTATTTGGTGTTATTGTTGTGTTATAGATGTGTTATTATTGTGTTATATTATTTAGAGATGTGCTATAGATGTGTTATAGATGTATTATAATATGTTATAATTGTGTTATTGTGTGTTATAAATGTGTTATTGTGTATTATTGTGTGTTATTGTGTTATAGATACGTTATTGTGTGTTATAGATGTAATATTATATGTTATTGTTGTGTTATGATGTTATAATGGTATTATAGATGTGTTATTATGTGTTATTGTTGTGTTATGTTATTAGAATTGTGGTATAGATGTGTTATCATTATATTATTGTGTGTTATTGTTGTGTTATAGTTGTAACACAAGCATAACACAATCATAGCACATTGATAACACAATTATAACACAACAATAACACAATTATAACACAACAGTAATATATAATAACTCACCTATAACACAACAATAACTGAAGTATTGTAGTCATATAACACATCAATAACACATAACACATATGTAATCCGACAACAACACATGTTAAAATGACAATTGAGTCATTTTAAAATGTGTGAATGGATAATGTTATGTATAAATTAACATTTCATTATGTTTTTTTTTGTAGGTATATAAATGCAAGAACGTTCAATTGTAAGTGTCTTCCTTCCGCTGTGAGGAGTGCACTCGATACTGTTAGACACATTATACCCGAAGAAACTATGATTTTTTTAAGAGAAGTAAATGTCAGTCAGTTTTTTAACATGCCTCGTTACCCCCAAGATAATGTGTTGACTCTACATATCATGGGATTCTAGAACAATGAAAGAAGAGCTTTTGTGATGGGTGGGAAGTTGGTAAAATTCCATGCCGACGATGTGGAGCTTTTGTTAGGCATGCCCAACAAGGGAGAATCTGTTAGTTGGAGGAAAAGTTCGTCATCTCATGTAGATTTGAGAGTAATAAAGGAAGGTATGACTAAGTTTTCAGGAGAGTCTTCCATTCCTTTTGAGAAACTATTTCTTAAGCTTTTACTGACAAATTTATTCTTTCCCTCGAGCAATTTCGGTGTGTCTGCAGTTATTTATGCGTTTGGAGAGAACTTACGGACCTTCTCTTCGTTTAACTAGCATGCTGCTATCTGTGATTATATGATTGATCAAATGATCTTTGTTGCAATCAAAATAGAGAGTAATCAGTCACTTGGTTACATAAGTGGTTTTGTATTTCTTTTATCTGTAAGTTCATATTTTTCACAATTAAAAATTTTCCTTATTCACTAATTGTTTTTGTTTCTTTTAGCCTTATAAAAAAATGATTTTTAATATGTGTTATTTGCAGCTTTGGTTATTCGAGCACACAACTCACTTTACTCCTGCTGCACCTGAGGCTAGACCACGAATGCTAAGGTGGCCAAAAATTTATGGGCGGACAGCAGCACAGATTCATGAAGCCTTTAGGGTGCTTGATCATGTGCAAGTAAGTAAATTTATTTCTTAAAAATTTTTATTTAGGTAAGTTTCTAAGTTGATTTACTAAATATAGGTTCCAGATGTACCCGATGATGTTGAAGTTGCGTCAACCAACACAAGGATGTACCCGATGATTGTCGGATGTACCCGATGAAGTTAAACGAACAACACATGTTGTTCTTAATATTGTGCCCTTTACGGTAAACAACTCATTCTATAGTGTGTAGCGGTTATTTAACCGAATAATTTGTTTAAAAACATCTATTTTTTTTTTCAGGGTCATGTTGCGGAAGACCCAAAGGATCAACAATCGGAAATAAATCTAGAACAGTCGTTTTTTCAAGAACCTCAATTAGTATTAGTGTCAAATATTTTGTCATTTGAGGCAGAGACAACTCCAGCTCAAGCTGAAGAAAATCTTAAACAAATTGCGATGAAGCACAGTGGTTTAGGCACCCCTTTAATCAACCAGGGAATGCAAAGCAATGCAATAGTGATCACTAGCTAGAGCACCAATTCCATTGTTGAGAGCCATGCGATAGTGGTAAACAAAATAACCCCTTTATATTTCAATTTTTTAGTTAGAGTTTATAATTTTTTTTTATTCTGCAGCCTCGTATTACGACATCATACCTAAAATATCCTTGTAGATCATTAGTACCATGCAAGATGCAAGAAGTTATCGATGAATGCATTGCTACATACATGGGGGTGTAAGTAACTTTTGACAACAGTTTTCATTTTATATTCAAATGTGACAATCTTTCTTTCTTAAATATGCAGGCATGATCTTCTAGCAAATAAAGGTTCTAGGAGGGTAATTGATCAAGCCGACCTCGAGGAAATTTTATGAAATGGGTGGTTTGGAAACGAACATTTTGATATTTTTGCTGACATTTTGTGAAAAAATTGTCAGGTCACTCAAATTATACAGGCCTTACCTCTTTGTAACGTCGCAATATTGGGTAATATGCAATTGTTTAATTTATCCATATTTTTATGGCTCATAGTTTCATTGTAAACACCATGTAATGTAACAAATTTTGCAGATGCATAGGAATTTGGATAGCATTGCTTTTTTTAAAAATGTCACGAAGGACTGTATAAAGGAAGCATGAGTTATATTATTTCCTATAGTTCATAACGGTCATTGGACTTTGTTGGTGGGGGAGCTGAATTTGAGAAAATGAAAATTATACGACTCTCTTCCCAACACTGTGCATAAGGATGCTGCCCACCAAGTTGTAAATATATTACACATTAATAACATCGCTCCAAAAATAGCTTGTGACTCTGCCACATTCGTCAGTTTCAAAATCCTAAGCAAACTTGGTATCCTCAACTTGCCTCTCCATTAACAACTGTATTAGAGCATTGACATCTCCTTGCTCTATTCTTTTCCTTCTTTTGTTTTGAATAAAATTGTGTGCATCTCTTTTCGTCCATTCTAGGTTCTCCACCCCCAACCTCCGTAACCATAAAGTTATATGCATCTGTTGCTCTAATCCATGCTTCTGTCATTGATCTCAGCAAATCTACATTTAACTCACTTATCTTTCTGTTACAACGCAAAAGATGCTTATCACCACTATTGGCAAGAGGGTGGTTATGGCTTTCAATGAAATTCTTTACAATCCAATTTCTTTCAACATCGATGGCATATCTAACCATGGCTTGACATCCAGTCCTCGTGTCAGCTTTTCTGAGTTTCACAGTATCTGTCAGGCTTGACTCCTTCTTGTGGGCCAGCCTTTCCACAAATAAAATCTTTATTTTTAATTATTATTGAATTTGCCTAATAGCTGTTATGATCCTTCCTAACATAAAAGCCTACATGATGT